GATAACCGTCTCGGTTAATTTTCCGAGGGAGTTTAGGAGGGAAATTGGCCTATAAGAGGCGGGATCAGTCGTGTTTTTGCCCGGCTTTAAGATAGGAATTATTACAACGTTTTTTCAGTCCTGTGGGAAGTGCTGGTGGTTCAAGGCGATCCTGTTGTCCTCTGTGGGCTGCCTCCTGTACATCCTGCGCAGCCTTATGTGGTTGGTGATTTTCCTGCTAAGGTTTGCTGGTAGTTCCTCGCGAGCTAATAGTACCTTCGCAGTTACCGAACTTCTGGCGTGTGCTTGCAGGATTGTCTCACCGAGTCTTCTTGCCGCTGTTTTGAGGTCCCCTTCGGTTGCAATCTGTGAAATCACAATCTCATTATGGAGTATCTCCGTGAACATAGACCAATCGGTGGAAGTCCTTGATCCAAGAAGCGGAGTTGTTTCTTCATCGCCACAGCTCAATATAATTGGGTTCTGGTCCGAAGTCGCCTTCCTCTATGGTCTCAATGGATACCACCTGCCGGATGTTCTTAACAATGACGATGTCCAACACCTCCGGTATCCCACTTCCTGTTGGGATTTTTGTAGGAACCTCAGGACCCATGACAACTGCATTGTTTGTTTCAACTGCTTCTGCCCATGCCCGACCATTCCCGCAAGTGCGGGAGCTATTCCACCCCGGGTTCTTACAGTTCAGGTCTCCGATAAGCAGCCTAGCTCGGTTGTCGCCCAGCAGTGTCTTGGTGTCCTGTGGTGTCAGTTTTGCCTGGGGGGCCTTGTAAGCAGATGTGACTGTCACAGGTCCCCTGGCAGTGTTGACTTATACGCTAATGGCATGCAAGTCGGTATCTTCGATGCCAATGCTGTGATAGTCTATGTCTTTTCTCACTAGAATGGTCACTCCTGGTCGTCTGCTTGCGCTGTCATATCTGTAAATGAAATAGTTAGTAAATCTCATTCTGGTGTTAGTGCCTAACAGAGTTTCTTGAAGTGCCATCACTTCAGGTTGTCTGCTTTGCAGGAATTCGTCCAATTCTGGACGTCTACTTATCAACCCGTTGAC